GCAGCTGACACACCTCCGGAATCGCAGCTGGTTCTCCATACTGCACGCCCTGCATGTGTTTCTGCAGATACCCATGTTGGTGTTCTTTAGCAGCTTGGAGCACGTCACACACCTTGGTTTGATGCCATCCTCATACTGCACGCTCGGTCTAGGAGGGTCTGGAGATCTCCGACTATTCGCTGCAATGCAGCGTTGGCACACACCAGTACAGGGGTTGATGTCGCTGGCCGCCCAACCAATGTCACAGTTAAGGCAGAGTATGAAATCATTCACCCTAGATGGGTACACTGCCACAATTGGTTTGGAATCCCATGATTTTGGATACGACATGATTATATCTATGTTTGTAGACTAGTCGTTCTTCAATGGTACGATGTGATCGATAGAAGTCTAAGAAACACTATGATGAAAAACGCGCACCTCCTCTGCTTTTCAATGCTCGCACCTACTACCCCTCTATAGTTGGTTGCGCATCGTGAAACCATTTTTTTTGGTGTTCACGCATTGATAACACTAGTTGAAATGGAATATGGACACGCCCACATATTGTTGTAAGAACCGCCTTTTTCCCCACTCGAAGCATAGACCGCCTTCCTCCCTCTTTCGATGTGAGGATAATACAACGCACAGCCCTATGTTGAGAACGTTAGTTTGAATTCATTCCTCCAGAAGAAGAAGACTCACCTACCATATTCCTACACCATCATAAACGGAGAACTTAGTGGAATTGTCGAGAAGCTGGCAAATCTGTCGCTGATAGATGAGAATCAGTTGAATGTAAGTATTTCCAACATCATTGTTAACTGATTAGGAAGGCGATAGGCCTCATCCATGTTTCAAGTACTCTAGACGAATTTTTTTCATTATTCACAGGATCTCGGAAACGCACACGTTGGGTTCGACGGTGGCGATGTGGAGCAGGACAACAACAACGATCAAGACGAAGGGTTTGGTGACGAAGAATGCGGCGAGAGGGAGCAGAGGGTTCAAGAACGAACGAGGATGATAGATGTCGTCGGTCTCCGAGAACACCATCAGGAGATGGCCTACTGCACAACAGTGGCAATTGTGGTGTTGAACACAGCGGAGGGGGATAAAAATCTGTGTTATAGGTGTTTCCTCCGATATTTGTTGAGACCGACGTTGAGAGGAGAATATCTACACTCTTCAGCGCATTCAACATCCAGCTTTTTCGAGATTCCGAGAGAGTTTACATGCGAAGCCTGCTCTGCTCCTCTCTACCAAATTCACATGTTGGACTTGTGCCTGTCGTGCAATCATGCCAAAGAAAAGTTACATATTTTTTAAGTTAATATAAAGTAGTTTTAGTCACACCCTAGAATTAGTTTTGAATAAATTATGTATTAATGATAATAATAAAATTTTGACTGATATCGATTCATATTTTCATTTTGGGTGATTTGGATGGGTTAGGTGGAAATAATGAGAAATTGTCATAAGAATTTGTCCAAAAAAAATAAAGATAAAGTTTGGAAAATGTGAAGAGAGTGTTGAAAATTCGAAAATGGGTTGATGATATAGGCTCATCAGATGTATTTCAAGCTGTAGTTAACTGTGCACACAAAAGCGCATGACTTGACCCATCCAAAATATGGTGCGCACGCGATATCTACCGAAAATAAACGAATGTCGGAATTTCAATCTTCAATATGTATAAAAGTCTCGAGAAAAAAACCGATTTTTTGGTATTGCGCATGATATCACTCACCAAAACTATAGTGCGCATGCATTATCTCGTGAATGCGAAGGCCTATCAGCGATCTGACACCACCAATGTGAAGGTCTCTGAAAGTTAACCGAAGGATACCCTCTGACAAGGAGTATCCTGAAAAAAATTGAGTGCGCAGGCCTAAAACAAGCCTGAGGCCGAAATACACCATAATTGGTCGTTTTTGGTTGCGCAAAAGTGAAAAATATGCGCAGTGTATTGGATGATATATATTTTTGGGTATTCATGACGAATCCACGATCGGAAATTCCGATACGAGTTTTTTCGCTGATATAATGTGCAGAGGGCGTTGAAAAATTCTGAAATGAGTTGATAATATAGGCTCATCAGATGTATTTCAAGCTGTAGTTGACTGTGCACACAAATGCGCATGACTTGACCCATCCAAAATATGGTGCGCACGCGATATCTACGGAGAATAAACGAATGTCGGAATTTCAATCTTCAATATGTATAAAAGTCTCGAGAAAAAACCGATTTTTTGGTATTGCGCATCATATCACCCACCAGAACTATAGTGCGCATGCATTATCTCGTGAATGCGAAGGCCTATCAGCGATCCGACACCACCAATGTGAAGGTCTCTGAAAGTTGACCGAAGGATACCCTCTGACGAGGGTTATCCTGAAAAAAATCGAGTGTGCAGGCCTAAGACAAGCCTGAGGCCGAAATAGACCATAATTGGTCGTTTTTGGTTGCGCAAAAGTGAAAAATATGCGCAGTATATTGGATAATATATATTTTTGGGTATATATGACGAACCCAAGGATACAATCGTTTTCATTCCAGTCAATCAAGGGGAAATTTCGATGCGGGAAGAAATTTCTCAAGAAATTACGAAAGCTCTGAAGGGCCATGGTGAGATATTTTTTAAAAAAATATCTCCCACATTTTTATGTCCCTTCGGGGCTGCTAAAGTAAAATGTGAAATAATTTTAAAAAAATATCTCCTATGTCCCTTCAGAGCCGCTTATAAAAATCATAGAGATATTTTTTCCGGCTGCTGTGTTGCCAAGTATATTTCATTGTTCGTGCAGTCAAGAATAGTGACTGCGTTTGCGCCAGATCACGTGATCAAGATGTGACCAATAAGGACAAGGGCTGTGGATTTGTGATTTTAACAATCCCACTTTCATAGAGATAGAGAAAAAGAACCCTCCCATCTTTGGTGTGTACTGTGTGGTGTGTAAAATGACCATAGATGAAAGATGAAATGAAATACCTTATTTCTACATATTAGGTTGTCATGTTCTGAAGTTCTGAACTTTCGACAACGTTACTCAATTTTGCATGATATCTTTTATAAATTGATATCATGGTAGAAGTGAAGCAGTTAATCAAACGATACTTTCAGGTAGGATTCAATCTTTCCGAAATAAAAGCATTTTTGATGTTACGACATGACATTCTGATCAGTGAAAGGCAGTTGAAAAGGTACTTGAAACAACTTAATTTGTATCGAAGGAAAAATTACACAGACCTAACAATTATATCAGACTTCATTGACCAACAAATACTTGGTTCAGGTAGTCTGCATGGATATCAATGGATGCACCTGAAATGTTTACAAAATGGTTTGGTAGTCAAAATGAACACTGTGAGGCGTCTCTTGAAGGAAAAAACCCAGGAGTTGAACTGCGTTCGAGAAATAGGCTGAGACGAAGGGCATATCATAATAAAGGACCAAATTATATGTGGCATGTTGATTCTTATTATGACAAATTAAAACCATATGACGAATTATGTGGTTGAGGGCTGCTAAGATTAACAATAATCCTCGTATAATTGCTGGTTAATCCGTGTATTCGAATTCCGTTCTCTACTTATTTTATTTATGTTTTTGTTTTCTTTCCCCCCTGAAAAATTTACTGCATTTTGCTGTGGTGTGAAAAAATTTTTCTACAGCTGTAACACAAAATTGCTCTTGTTTTACTGTGTTCGATAAATAAATGAGGTACTTTGTATGTCATAAATTTTATTTCCGTATCTGATATCACAATGACTCTATTGTGTATTGTGTTATTGTTATTATTTCAAAACAATCTCATCTTCCATGAAATGTCAAATAACAAGCAATGACAGCATTGACAGGCGACAGCTCTGTCTAATAGATGAGCATTATTTAAGGAAAAATCAGATGGCTACAAGCCGAAGAAATACAAAATTTCGCTGTTATCTGTCACAACCTTAGAAAAAGTATAGTGTATAACTCGCCACGGAATGTTGATTTATCACTCGAATGGTTGCAGCATTCGCCAACATTCCGTGCTCGTTAAACAATATACTATTTTTCTACGGCTATAACACAAAGTTGCTATTGTTTTACTCTGTTCGACAAATCAGTGAGGTACTTTGTATGTCATCAATTTCATTTCCATATCTGATGTCACAATGACCCCATTGTGTTATTATTTCGAAAAAATCTCATCTTTCATGAAAAGTCAGATTACAAGCAATGACAGTTTTGACAGCTCTGTCTAATAGATGAGCATTACTTAAAGAAAAATCCGATGCCTACAAGTCGAAGAAATACAAAATTTTGCTGTTATCTGTTACAGCCTTAGGAAAAGTATAGTTTATAACTCGCACGGAATGCTAATTTCCCACTCGAATGGTTGCAGCATTCACCTATGGCTCATGCTTCATTCTCGTGGGAATGGGGAAGACTACTGAGAAAAGAAATCCGTGCAAACCTCTTTCAATCGAGGAATCATGATTTACGTTTGATGTACAATTAATATTATTAGGCCAGGCGGCAGGTAATCTGAACCGTAAAAAAATGTTGGCAAAGATTTTATTGTTTTAAATGGTTCATTAGGGTGAGATTAGCAGGAACCTAGGTTTTCCCCACACCCCCTAGGCCCGCGCCGGTCTTCGTGAGGCTCCAAAGGTACAAATTTTGGGTTTTTCGGTAATATCTCGTTTTCTCTTCGTCGTACGGTCAAAGTGGTCCTATATGAAATTAAAGGTGACAAAATTCTGTACAAAATAGTTCTCTATCATTTTTTCATGGGACTTATAGTTTCGAAGCAGTAGCCGCGCGAAGCTATGCGATTTTCGACAAATGCAGTAAATATCGACTCTTGCTTACCAAATTCCACTCTTCTCTTGTTCTGGTGACTGTTGACAATATGAATAAGCACATATTGCATAAGTTCTGATGAAAAAGTATAGAATTTTGGTTGAAATTGTGAATAGTTCGATTTATTGCGGCTTTCATTAAATACATTTCTGCAGCGAGTCAGTTTTATCAATTCAATCGTCTTCTTTTTGACAAAGTACGACGTTCTCGGGTAAAAGGTTCGTCCTGAGTTGGTATATCACCCGAAGTCGATGGTTCAGCAGTGATTTCTCTTTCGTCGAACCTACCCTCGTTGTCGACCAAAGATGACTCACTCTCAGAATCAGTCAGGTAAATATCTTGTGCAGCTGAATGTTCGAAATGCACATCGTCGTCATCAACGTCGAAATTCTCTTCCTCAATATCGACATTTGTGCAGGACTGGCCCCGGCAGCTTCCGCAAATTATCGAGCAACGCAGCCCAGTCTTTCTGCAGCTACAAGCTGCTCGACACCCTTGTTTGCACTTGCAAGATATTGTGCTGAGAAGCTCCTGTGGGGCAGCGTCTATTAGCGTAGGAATAGGTGTCAGTCCATTCCTCGTACTCTTCCAGCCCCAATCTTGCGGACTCTTCTTGTTTCCGTACCACTCTTGAATCTGATGGTAGGTTCTGAAGGAGTGCTGCCGTGCTGCTGCTTCGGTTGGTGGTAAAGATGCAAGATTGCAAGCACTCTTAGAAATTGATTTCGTGAAGCACTGAAACCTGCAGTCATTTAACGATGTGTCACCGCTCGCTCCATAGAGTGCTCTAATGAAAGATTTCCCGGCTGCCTCAATCAGGTCTGGAGAAGCATTTGGGTCTTTGAAGATTCCAACCGTTCTTGGTAAATTCATATTTTTTTGCAATAGCTTAACGAATTTCTGTTTCCCCTGCCTGAAAAATGCTGAGGTTGTGTCGCACCCACTGAAGGCATGAAGGAAGAGTATGTGCTCCGCAACTTTTTCCGAGTGTTTGAATGATTTTGTCGAGTAAATTCTGCTCTCAATCTTTCCTTTCCCTGGTTTCATGAGATAAACATTCGACAAAGATGATGCGAGGCCTGTTAATAGTACGAGAAGGTCGACATCTTCACCCACTACCACTACGAAATCATAGTCTGGCGATAATTCAACCGCGGTGTTAATTATCAGAGTGTCAGCGTCTTCAGCAGCTTGCTTTACCAGAAATCCTGCAGCTCGAAGTTTGCCCCCCAGCATGGAAATGAGCCGACTTTTGTTCTGGTCATTGGCGAGGAATTTTTCCTGTGACATTGTGGCTGTCATCGTTTCATCAAACATCACATTAGCTGCGACGTGCCTCTGCGATCTACGGAGTCGTTCAGCAGATTTAGTACTTTTGTTCTTAGCATCATTTGGATAGCCGTCAAAAACAACTACGCTGTTGGCCTTGTAGTACTTCTGAACGTATTGTACATACTTCGAAAGAATATTATCGAACGTCTCTTGTTGGTACCAGACCACACGATGGAGAAGGAATCCACCGTCTATAACATGTACCACGTTATCTGCATCGTTGATCGGATGAGCCACATGAGAAAACATATTATATAATGATGATTTCTTTGTTTTACGCATTCCTATTTCATCAAAAAGCGAGAGTGGATAAGGAGCTAATTCGAAGTGAAAATATTGCTGCAAATCCTGTTCCGTTTTCTTGGCAATTGTAATTCTTTGAAAAATTAATGAAGGATCAACAGGAACCACTTCATTTTGGATATTTAGTGAAGAGTTCACTGCTCTTAAAGGAATTACTCTCTTCTTCCGCTGGAATTTTACATCTCCAAAGTTGCCGCCAACGATAGCTGCCATTGATAACACGCCGACTTCGTTTGCTCTATAGCAGTCGATTTTCACATCTCCCTGTACTCCTGTGCTGATAGACATAATCTCGAGGCTGACTGGGAAGGGATTGTGCGATGAAAACCAATCAACGAACTTTTCGAGGTCTTGTGTATCCCTTGATATTCGCGATACTCTGGCATCTACATGCTGTTCGGAAGTAGCAAACGATACGCTGCAGAAATTTTCAATGGCCTCAGACACTTCCGCAAGAACAGGCATTGCAAGAATCCATTTCGCCAGGACACTGTCGGTGATTCCTAGGCCGTGTGTCAAACCACCAGTCGATTTCATAGATCTCATGAGAGTCTGTTCTATCGTCATGTCTGACCATATGCCACACCAGAACTTCTCAGAACGCCTAATTGTAAAATATCCTTCATTCACGAAGCGGCTATATTCCATGGGAGTCATATTCGTCCTTAGATCGAGCATATCTTGCAGATATAGTTGAGCAGACTTCGCATACAAAAAGTGACCGCTGGCGTGAAAGTATGGTAGCATTCTTTGTATCGTCTTCAGGTGCAAGTCCCAGTTTCCTGTTCTTTCCGCTTGGATGAACTGTTTCACCAAGGTGACCATGTCGAAATATTGCACCCACAGTTTGGCTGTTGGTCCATTCTCTGCGAGCCCGTTCAACGTCTCGGTGAATTTCCTTATTGTATCCTCGAAATGTTCCCCTTCAATCCTGTCCAAGAATAACGGATTACCGATATTTGAAAGAGCATCTTCCATATCTGCACGTTCCTCCGTAGTAAAGCCCACCGCAGAGAAGACAATCTTGGCGAGAGCTACATGAGCTAGAATATGTGCTCTTAAGGCCCTTGCATACGCATGACCAGTCAACATTTTTTCCGTAGACGCAGTTGCATAAACGACGTTGAAAAGGTCTCTCAGTCCACTTCCGTCCATGATGTAGCCTATTGAACCCATGAATGACATAAGTAGATGGAAGCCACCAAGTCTGACTATAACTGCGCTCAGATCGGAGCTCTCAGGGACAGATGCGATGATATCCCGAGCCTTGATATAGAGCGGCTGATCGAATGTTACGAAACAGCTGCTTTGACCCAACGACTTGCATTTCTCAGCCGCGTTAAGAAGAACGGTATATATCGTATCATGATTGCTTGGGGGTGCTTTAACGAACGGTAAATACAGTAGACGTGACTTTGAATATATCATGTGTGACGTGATTTGTTCCATATAACCATTCCAGCCTGGGATAGTTGGCATACCGTTCGTTTTTCCATACAGCCAGAAAAAATCGCTGGATAGTAAACTAACTCTACTGGAGATGGGATTGATCTCGTTTACATCTTTTATGTTTATTCTTGTCAATCCATTATTACCGGTCTTGTGAAATGTTCTCAAAGGAACATTACCGAATTGTCCGATCGTATGGGCACGTGGAATATTGGACAGCCTCTTGATTTTTCCATCCGAAGAAACAGTCGTAGAAGGAGTTACGCACTGGATTCCTCCCATCGTATGAAAAGTATTCAAACCGTCGATGGTATTGATATTAACATCTGCATTATCGAATACGAATTGCGAGAATGAGTTGTTCATTATTGTTTTCTGCGGATGGAATAAAGCTGACGTCTCGAATGTCACTATTTCTTCGTAAGAAGCGCAGAATCCTAAAGCCGACAATACTTTCAAAAGATCTTTGGATCCATATTTTCTACTAAAGAACGCTCCAAGGCCGATTTGAAGAGACGACAAGAAGGACTTTGGCCTCGCTGCGGCTATAATTGCATGTGCAATCGCTGTTATCTTCGCATTCCATTTATCCTGCTCTCCGCGTTTATTCTTCGTGATGATCGTGTGAAGAAGAGCTTTCAGAGTTTCCGGAATGTCACTCTCGATATTGGCTAAGAATGTTTCCGACGCAGAATATTGTTTCGTTTCATATACGCGCGATCTGATGTCCTCAGTTATTATTTGTGCAGCCGCCTTCACGATTCTTAAACGCTCATCTATCACATTCTCCTCTTGATTTTCATACCAATGTTTTGTTAAGATTTTATGCCCAGTATCGCGAAAAGAGATGATGGGCTCACTTTTTCGTTTTGCTGTGATAATCATGTCCTCACCATATTTTTTCTCAAGTTTGTTAATTATTGTCGTATTCGTCGGAAGGTTACCTTCATAGCCTACTAGTATTTCTTTCACCGAAAACTGGCATTCTTCTCGATGTTCTTCAATATACGAAAAAATGTGATTCATTACAGCAACGACGTCTTCATTTTCGGGTCGGCCCTTTTCACGTGTTGAAGGCGGACGAGCGAAAAATCTCTTCAAGCACGACGTGTGATATCTGCCTGTAAATTGAAAATTGATGTAATTACGAGATAGTACAATTCTGCATGCAGTTATACATGTCATTAATCGGCAGTGTGCGATAACCATATCAAAATATAATAAATCTACTCGAAACAGATATAGGAAACAATTCGTAGAAACGATGTATACATTATAAAAATATATCATCGCACACTACCATTGATAGTGAATTTTCACGTGTCATACCCTCCGCAGCAACGAGATCCACGTCTTTAATACGTAAAACGACCTTCTCACTGAATGAGTCATTTCTTTCTCCTGCAATCTTCTCGAGTTTTTCGTTCATATTGAGAGTTTGGATAAGGCCGACGGAATCACGTTTATCCACGTGATTTTTCTGTTCCCTCGCCAAAAATTGCTCTGAAGCATCCTGCGCGCAGAATAGGCACTTAGTCTTCCATTCAAATGTTAGTAGATTAGATCTCCGAACTGTTCCACTCGTTTCACCTGTACCATAGATAAAACATCCACTATTAAAAAAAAACGACATCAAAATGCTTTGAAACCATACTCTGTCAAACGTCAATCATTTTAATGCGGAATTTTTCGCTAAATGAATGTGGGGTTATGTCCTATTTTACAAAAGTTATATAACTCTTACCTGTATTCGCTCTTATGGCAGCAATTATACTCCTCTCTCTCGTATATGTTTTATGACACTTCACATGAATAATCACTGAATTCAGCCCTCGAAGCTGACCCACTTTATTGTCTTTTCTGCGGACACTTGACTCTTTGAGAGAATTCAAACCTCTCGCCTTCACTTCAAGAGTTTCACCTTCGTTTAAAGTCTTCTCACATATGAAGCAAATATTTTGTCCTGACATTGTCTCACTGAAGACATACGGAAATCATTGGATTTTTAGAATACGTAAGCGCGTCATCGACCAACTTCTCAGGCACAGAAGGCTATACTGGAATATTTTATACACACGAGGGGATACTATGCAGGCAGAAGTGGACCCTCCCCACCCATGAGCTAATGCTTCCTACAAAAGACCGGATTTATACCTGAGACCCTTCTCGTATTCTCGGAACCAAACAGCCGTTTCAATTACTAAATAAATTTTGAAACAGAAGCCTATAATAAATTGTAGACGACACAAAACATACTTTTCATCGATAACGAATTGAAATTACTCATACATAGTCATAAAAAATGATAGAACAAATTGTCAACAGTTACCAGAACAAGAGAAGAGTGGAATTTGGTAAGCAAGAATCGATATTTACTGCATTTGTCGAAAATCGCATAGCTTCGCGTGGCTACTGCATCGAAACTATAAGTCCCATAAAAAAATGATTGAGAACTATTTTGTACAGAATTTCGTCACGTTTAATTTCATATAGGACCACTTTGACCGTACGACAAAGAGAAAACGAGATATTTCCGAAAAACCAAAAATTTGTACCTTTGGAGCCTCACGAAGACCGGCGCGGGCCTAGGGGGTGTGGGGAAAACCTAGATTCCTGCTAATCCCACCCTAATGAACCATTTGAAACAATAAAACCTTTGCCAACATTTTTTTACGGTTCAAGGGAATCGAATCTATATCGTTTTGAAATCAGCATATTATTTCATTCGATATTTCAAACAGCCAAATATGATGGTGGAGTCGTGACGTATTAGTCCCGAACTGTAGCTATCTCTCTCTGAAACCTCGTCATCCTGCCGTGTTGCAGTGTGATTGGTCAGTTCAAGGACAATAGGCGGGTTGGGAATAAGACGTCGCACCAGTCACACCAATGAATTGACAGAATTTGAAATGGCGCAGGAATCGTGTGTTTTGAAATGGACATATTCTAATTCATTATTTTCATCGTCTTAGCATGAATGTCAAAATTCAAAATTAATTCGCTGGTAGTTTTTCAGTATAGAGTTCACGATAATGTCATTTTAAAAAATCAGAGGTCTCCCCCATTGACGATCATTCCGTGCTCGTTTAACAATATACTATTTTCTCCAAATTTTACAAAACCAATATTGTGTAATTATTTTTATTGAAAACTACATCATTTTGTGTTCACATAGTGTCAATGTCAATTTTGATTACCAATTGGCACGTATTCAAAACGCCCCGATAACAGGCATAGGCAAGCTTTTAGACCAATCAGGTTGATTTTGGCTTCGGCGGTAAATTCGAATCGCATATCTTATAACAATGATGATTATTAGAAAATGTACTATATGTTATATGATGATGTCGTATAGGCAATATATATTAGAGGTATACTCATCATATTAGATAGTGTTCATCTAAAAATTTGATTTGTCCACTTTCAGTCTTGGTGTTTTGATTGAATTGTTCTATTTCTGAATAAAGTTCATGGGATGTTTCTAATAGTCCATATCGATCTATAAACATTTTCATGTATAAATGATGGAAGAATATTATGTCGGAACAAATAATATAGTAGATTGTGGGTTCTCTCTGTAGGTATGATAACTACAAGATCACCTTATACGAATATGTTAATCAATGTTGTATCTTCCTATTGCATTACCGTTATAATGTGTGCTTGACACCAGGGTGCTTTCGTAGATATCCGATACGGAAATAAAAATGGCACCCATACAAAGTATACCTAACTGATTTATTGAACACAGTAAAACGAGAGTAATTTTGTGTTATAGCCGTATAAAAAATGTGTATTGTACATGTGTTGATCACTGATGTTTTTTTTTTCAGGAAATTTCCAGAAAACGTGTTCCGCATTATTTGTTGCGTCTTGTCTCTTTGTGTCCTGTCTCTAGATACGACAGTTCGGGACAGAGATTAGCCACCCACAAAACGGCTAATCTCTGGTTCGGGGCGTTTTGAATTCATGCGAACCAAGTTCGCTGAATGCTGAATGGTCACTAATTTTGTTACTCAAAACCAGAGATTAGCCCAAAGGCAGAGGCTAGAGACACGTTGATGTGCCTGTAATTCAATAAGGAGTTAAAGCAATGCAGAATGCGTAAGCGTAAACGTAGAATTTGACATTTAAGCATGCGCAGTGTGCGAATTTCCTACGCCAGGAGATACGTCCGACGCTTGCGTCCGACGTATGTTTACGTATTGCTACGCTGGCGCTGAACGCAAGTCGTATTGAACCACCGAAGGCGTTACCTATCTAAGCGAATACAAACAATAACTATTCGGTTTTTACTTTAACCTCACTTTTATCACATGAAATCACATTTATTTTTTATTGCGCTTCGTTCTTGTGTTGTGCTTCGAAGAAATCATGGACAATTCAGATGAAAGAATTCTCTTTTCTTTGGAAGATGATTCGCAAGGGAAGTTGTAGGCCATAATCCCTACGAAGACACGGGCCGTTGGAACCTCATCCAAATGAATATAATGTAAACTACTGGAAAACTTATAGCTTCCTGGTATTCCTAGGAATCCTAGGGCTCTAGCTAATCTTGGAGTGTCATTTTTCGCAAATCGAAATAGATTTTCACATTCTATTTCAATAAATTGTTTTGATTGATATCTCTATATAATTCCCTTCGATTACCTAAATTGTCTACTAGCATCGCTATCATTATTTGTAGCTTCGAATATCAAAATCTTTTCCATTTTGCAACGAAGGGTTTGCAGCAACGAATATCAAAGCAAGCGAAGACTGGGGAAGTTTCCTATATTGAGGTTTTTATCTAACTGTGAAGTTTGTTAAAAAATAATATATACGTATTTTTTCTTTTTCTCGTACGATGACATTTCACTTCAGAAAAAAATTAATAAAAGAGGAACTTGGCTCCTCCACCATTCCTATGACGTATTTTCTGAAAATCCACATTCACACAGAGTTAAAATACGATTGCCTGTGTCAGTACGACGTTGCCGACATTATCATTATGTCTAGATTTTCGGAAATTGTTCTTTGAATGCATAATAACTATATCATAACAGCAATGGGATGTAATAGGTTCTTCAATCCTGCTTTGTCAAGTATTATGAATAATTCATATAAATCTCTCATTGGCTGAATGAAGTTGATTACTAATAAAGATGAATTGAGTTATTTTGCGATAGTATCTATAATTTTTCACTATCGTTATATTACAATATGTTATTCATAACTTGTCAGTCATTTTTTTGCTAATGAATTCGTTCCTTGATAAAACGGATCTATTTTCTAGGATTGTTGCAGATTATATCTTGCAACAGCGCATAATGGGTGCCGGCTTCATTCTGTTCTGACCGATGGCAGTAAATTAGGAAGGATAGTATCATTGAATGTAGCCGATAGTGATTCATTGATTCAATGACATTTCCGTTTAGGATCGAGCTCTATTCGAGATATTTCAATGCATAAATACCAAAACCATATCTTGTCAGAATAAAGCCAACTACCCTGTGCATTCCTGCTCCGAGTGCATTTGTAGTTATATACTTAGATGTATGATCTAAGGTTATATATGTTTTTGTTCACCAATTTTACTTCTTCTTCTATTTTTTTCATTCGTTTTTCATTCGATACCTATTTGCTAGCTATATTCTCCACCATCAGCGATTTTCAGACTAGATTCAGAATGTACGTCACAGTTTGCCGCCCCGAAAATTGGAAATTGCTTCAATTTGAAAATGAAAACGACTTGGACTTTTTTGTTCGCCATTCCGTACAGCGTGGACACAAAACTGGAGAGTTCCGAACTTATTTTATGAAAATTCATCTGAAGGAAACTTCCCCTAAGGTTAAAATGAGTCTGGTTTTGTATCTTGTATGTAAAACATGTACGTACCATACGGTAGCTTTAACGTTACTTTTCATTGAATACGTACGTATTTCTATTCACTTTCACGTCCATACGTAATTGGAAGTTTTTGTTTTGGCTTCAACTCCCTAATAATTACAGACACGTGTACATGACGCATGACGTCACTCGCCCCAATGGTGAATTAAGTCTATTCAATATGATATATTTTTTTTATATGGAACAAAATTTGGGGTGTAATTTCAGTCCATGATAGACAAGAAGGGGCATTTTTTCCTCTTTTTGACGTATGCACATAGAAATATCGAATATGAGGAAGGAAAATATCCTTCCTCTTCCTGCATAACTATAAAAAAGGAGACTACCTTAACCAAACACCTAACCTAACCCAACATGTCGGCTTGAAAACAAATTGGAAATTAAAAAAAAACAGCCCGGCGAGGATTGAACTCGGGCCCCCGGGTTGACATCCCAACACACTTTAAACTCACTTTAAAGACTTTTATTGTTCACACAAATTACATTACGACACAAATTTACAGGCACATTCCAGAGAGAAACATATTATTAGAGCTCAGGGCTCTGTGATGAGTCCTCCGCGCGGTGCAGAGGTGGCCAAGGAACGTGGGTGCATTTGCGAAGTGTTAGTCTCAGAGGCCTAT